AGAAGAAGAAGAAGAGGAGGAGGAGGAGGAGGAGTTTGGATTTGATATCCCGCCTTTCACTCCCCTTCAGGAGTCTCAAAGCGGCTGACATTCCCCTTTCCCTTCCTCCCCCACAACAAACACTCTGTGAGGTGAGTGGGGCTGAGAGACTTCAAAGAAGTGTGACTAGTCCAAGGTCACCCAGCAGCTGCATGTGGAGGAGCGGGGATGCGAACCTGGTTCACCAGATTACAAGTCTACCGCTCTTAACCACTACACCACACTGGCTCTCTGTTTCTGATTAGGACAGCAATAGCCATGCAGGCCCCATAGAACAGGGATAAGTGGTGACAACAGTACACCCTCTAGCAATGCCAAGGCTAGGATGCCAGGCGGCCACCCTTGCCTCTTTGTCCAGAGGAAGTACTTTCTGTGCTTAGGAACAGCAGTCACTGGCTATACCAACCTCCCATTACTTTATCTGAACCCTTTCAAAGCCATCCAAGAGGCTGGCCCAGCAGCACACCTTGTGATAATCCATTGTGTGAAGAGTAACTTTCCTTTAGTTGTTCCAAATCTGCTGATAAGTTTCTCTCCTATGCTAACTCAGTTGGACAGCCCACTAAACCCCCTGCTCTACAGACAAGTATGTGGAGAGGTTGTATTGAGAACTCAATTGACCCACCTTTTCTTCTCCCAGGCAACAATTGAATGCTGCACTTTATTTTCAGTAGTTTCTTGGGTTGTTGTTTTTTTTAAACCCTCCTCTGTATCTGTGTTTTGTTTTTCTTCTCTCACGCAGGTGGTGCTGTGGAAGGACATGGGTGGCGCTATGGTCTAAACCACAGAGCCTAGGACTTGCCGATCAGAAGGTCGGTGGTTTGAATCCCCGCGACGGGGTGAGCTCCCATTGTTCGGTCCCAGCTCCTGACCACCTAGCAGTTCGAAAGCACATCAGAGTTCAAGTAGATAAATAGGTACCTCTCCAGCGGGAAGGTAAACAGCGTTTCCGTGCGCTGCTCTGGTTCGCCAGAAGTAGCTTAGTCATGCTGGCTACATGACCCGGAAGCTGTCTGCGGACAAACGCTGGCTCCCTTGGCCAGTAAAGCGAGATGAGCGCCGCAGCCACAGAGTCGCCCACAACTGGACCTAATGGTCAGGGGTCCCTTTACCTTTACCATCATTTTTATTTTGTTCAATCTGTATGGGTTTCTGCCAATAAACTTTTAATTAAAATAAATGAATTTGCTGGTGATTCAGTTGCTTTCATATGAATCCTGGTGTTTCAGGGGGAAGAATAACTTCCCCATATCTGAACACCTGTCTCCTTCCAGCCACCCTTACCCAGTCATAGGAGCTACTGGGACTCGACTCTACCTTCACATTTTATAAGTGGTCTTAGAGAGAGTAGCTGCCACTATTTCCCCCAGAGTCTGCCACCATCACCAACATAAAGAGGTGGAGCACAGCAGAGGCAGAGGGGAGAGGAAAGCAAAGGAGAGCCCCATACAATATGATTTGTCCTGAGCTCTGCACATGAGCACAGACAGGATTTATTGGAGGAGCAGGCATTATGTGAGGGGGGGTGGTGCAGAACTGGGTTATCTGTGATGCAATTAGTCAGTTAAGTATCTTTATTTATTGACTTGACTGAGGGGGGAGCTGCCCCCCTCCAGGGACGGCCCTGCAGTCTACTGAAAATCACCCAGAAATCTACATCTCCCTTCTGCCCACCCATGCATTCGCTCTGAAAGATCTAAAGATAGTTCCCTAAAAATGCTGTACAAGATAAAGATATTCAATTATGTCTCAACTTGCAAGGCGTGGGTAGAGTGTGTGTGCACACTTCATAGCAGTAATTTAAATTGGCTATGGCATTATGGGGGGGGGGAGAGGGAAAAAAGTCTATCCGAAGCCTTTTAAGGTCATGAGAGCTACTGAAGTTTAATCAGTCCCTGGAGCATACACAAGAAACTCATTTGACTAGCCATCCTTGCATTCTCTATCCCAATGGATTAGTTAATCTTTTAAAGCTGTGTGTTCTACATGGAAAGAGGTCCATCAGTCAGACACACAGCATCTTCAGGGAGGTTGCCCAGCTGTCTAACCACCAAGGTGCAGTTCTGATATACACACTCTCTCTCCAAGAACGAAATTTAGTAGACTTACCTACCTACTCAGCTTCTTTTAAATATATAATAGTACCATATTGCATCCTAAAGGTAAAGGTAAAGGGACCCCTGACCATTAGGTCCAGTAGTGGACGACTCTGGGGTTGCAGCACTCATCTCGCTTTACTGGCTGAGGGAGCCGGCGTACAGCTTCCAGGTCATGTGGCCAGCATGACTAAGCTGCTTCTGGCGAACCAGAGCAGCGCACGGAAATGCTGTTTACCTTCCCACCAGAGTGGTACCTATTTATCTACTTGCACTTCGTGCTTTCGAACTGCTAGGTGGGCAGGAGCAGGGACCGAACAACAGGAGCTCACCCTGTCACGGGGATTCGAACTGTCGACTTTCTGATCGGCAAGCCCTAGGCTCTGTGGTTTAACCCACAGCGCCACCCGCATCCTTATATTGCATCCTACATGAAACAAAATGCAGCACAATCTTATTCATGTGTACTCAGAAGTAAGCCCCACTGAATTCAACAAGGCTTCCTTTCAGGAAAGTGAGGGTAAGATTATTGCACTTAAAAGAAGAAAATGACACACACACACTCTCCAAACTTGGATCTGTGATAATAATATTTTTTAAAATCATTTTTTTAGATTGGCGTTGGATCAGTTAAAAGTATATGTGCAAATGCAGAACTCAGCAAATGGTGCAAAAAAAGGGTCACTTTTAGTTCTATTCCACCCACAATGATAAAATGAGAATCAATTTCCACCACTCAGCCTTGAATGAATGAATAAGATAATATTCATGTCACTGCCTTTTTACAAATAGGGAAGCAATGATTAAAAAAAAATAAAAATGCATGAGGCAGTATTTGCATCCATTTCCAGCCAAGACCCATTCACTCCAGCTCTTAGGTAAATCAGCAATAGCAGAAATAATAATACTGCCTTCTCTGTTTCCAGTTTCTGCAAACACAGTCTGGCTGCAACCTGAAGTGAGCTGCAATCAGGGAAATACAGAGTCGAAGCCCACCTGCCAAGATGGCACCTAGGTAATACATTTCACCAGTGAAATGCAGTGTCCAATTACAGATGTAATTTCACACAAAATTGGCACGAAAAACCCAGAAGCATTCAGACTATTTAACAGAAGGGGATTGGCACCTTACTGCACTGATGCTCAAAGCAGGAAGCAAAGGGAGTGCTCACATGCCAAAATAACCGACATTATCTCAGTCAGTCAAAAAATATGCTGTCAAATCTGAAATCAGTAAGCACTAAAAGGTATTGAGCCAAACACTTTAAAAGACAGTTTTACACCAGGCCTGAAAAACTGATGAGTCTGCACTAGAAACTCAGATTCATTCCTTTCTCTGAAGCAATAAAAAACAATTTAGGAGTTGGTGGGAGGCAGAGGAGAAAAGGCCTCCTCTGATTTACAGGCAAAGCAGTAACTGCTGTGCAGAATCTAAATGTCTCGACATGAAAGGCAAAAGTCATAGGCAGTAGCTGTGAACACCTTTGCAGCAAGCTTAGGCTGGATGTACACAAAAGCCACAGTTCTGGTTTCTTGTTATACAGATTCAACCCTTCGGGAGTAAGGTTTTAATTTCATTGATCCTGAGGCACAACTGGGCACACTGCCAACACTGGCCCCGAAAAACTTCACTACAAGGAAAAGCAAAACCAGCTCTGCTGAGGTGCTCTGACAGTCACCACTCTAAAAACATGTTTCACATCTGACTAACTTTGTATTTCTGGAGAGCTGCGAACCTGTGAACGTTTACGCTGACGTGACGCTTGGTGATAACTGAATTAAGAGAGTGAAGACAACATTACACCTTTCTTTAAGGCAAGAAGATCACAAGTCCACATATTCTGCTGAGATTAAACTCTTCTGAAACGCAGCTGTGTTTCAAGCCAAGCACAAAGCTCACATGAAACAGGTTGTTTCATCATGTTACAGAATCCGTAACAGGAAGGGATGTGGTCAAAATTAGGCTTAACTGAGCTCAGAGACAGAAAGAAAGAAAAGACACTTATGCACAAATTAATATTTCCCCAGGCACCACTGTTTCCTCCCTCTCTCCGTTGCCATTTTAGGTTAACGTCTAAAGGATTTTATGATTGCAAAAGCTTTATGAACAATAGGCTGCTAAAATTGTCTGATACATCACACCCTGCTTCTGGCAGGACAGCACATTCAGAACATTCAAACTTCATGTTTAAAAAAGAAAAAGTTCTCTCTGTCTAAATTGAATTATTGAATAAATTGAATAAAAAGGCGTGACCTTTTTTCCCCTTTTTTAAAAGCCAACCTCTCCCCATTCCCGGCATCTAAGCATCTCTTTGGCATTATGAAGCTGTCCTATACTTTCGCATCTAGCATCCAGTGCATCAACTGGCAGCTGTTCTCTAAGTTCTTGGGTATCTTCCCCATACCTGGTCCCAAGAGCCTTTAACTCAATGGTGGGGAACATGCAGCCCGCCAGATACTGCTGCACACCAACTCCCATCAGCCCCAGCCAGTATGACCAATAGTCAGCCATGGTGGGAGCTGCAGCTCAAAGCCAACTGGGCAACCGCAGGCCCTTCACCCCTGCTCTAACTGGAGATGCCAGGATTTGAACTTGGAACCATGTGCTTCCCAAGAGTGTGTGCACTTTGCTATTGAGTGATGGAACCATAGGCTTTGAAAAGCCCTCAGCGACAGCACAGAAGAGCAAGTCAATCAAAAGCGAGAGGTGAACCATGATTAATTTTCCCAGGAGGAAAGAGGCAGCAACAGTCACCCACGAAACTAGGGTGCTGAATCGATGGCATTGACTTTCATTACAAATGCTTTCATTCCACCAGTTCTAAAAGCATAATTTCCCCTCTCATCCCTTTAGTTGTAACTCACACTTGCAACATTATTTTGTTCAGGAAGACTCCATCCGCAAGGTCCATATACATGGCGAGCTTGTCTTCATTATCGTTCCCTAATGGTCCGAACGTTTTCACCTGCCAGAAAAAAAGCTTTATTAGGAAATAATCTCAAAAAAAGAAGAAGGGGGGGGACAACACTTTGCAACTTTGCCCCAGTCACCTTCAGTCATGTTAGCAAAGATGCCTGAGAAAAGTATCCACTAACTTTAAGGAAACACCCACCATTATTTCTGCTACAAATCCATCTCAATAGCAGTTGGCATTGTCTCGATTCCTTCCAAGATCTTACTTAAACCAATTTCCATTCCCCAATTAATCTTCTTGACATATACACGTTAAAAAAAGAGGGAACAACTTGACCTGAAAAGTTTGCTCTCTTCTACAGGCCTGGTACACGTTGCCTGCTACTATTAATTTATTATGGCACACCAGATGGCATGAGGTGTTGTGGCCAGTCTAGAAATCAAATGGTAGACTGCTGATGTGGTAGAACTGACTGCACCCCGTCTGACAGCAGGTAGGAGAGAGCTTTTTTGAATCCTGCTCTGTGTAACAACTCCACTCAAGCAGGTAATAACTTTGGGAGAAAGGTTGACACCTAAGCCTCTTTGGGGGCATTTTGCTCACCTATCATTCAGAGGAACAAAGAGACCTTACTCAGAGTGAGCCAGCCCTGGAGATTATCTCCACCAATGTCCTGTTTGCAGCACCAAATGCTACTGCCTACTACTGTCAGAGCTGCCTCATCCACAGTGGCTCACTCTTAAGAGAGGACCCATGATCAGATGAAGTGGTGACCAGGAGAACCCTTTGGATCATGGCCACTACACTGCTGTTGTCCAGGCCACAGGAGCAAGGTCAGTAGCCACTCAGCAAAATGGAGGTGGGCAGCTCTGCAGGCAGGCAGGTGAGCCAGGTGAGGAATTGATCCCCTGCTTCTCCAAACCTGCCACCTGAGACACCTTGGCTAACAGGTGGCTTGGCCCTGTACAGGGAGTATATGCAGGGGAGTATTGAAAAATGCTGGTCCCTACCCTACTGCCTGAAGTAGTGCAGTCAGTTCTACCACTGCATGTGTAAATTCAGCATAGGTCAATCAAGACTGGGGAAATCCTCACTCACAGGGCAAAGGGATGTGCATTTGATCATTGATCATCCTTCATTTCCTTCCACACCTCACAGCCACAATCCAATTTCAGGTGAGGCGCTTTTTGGTCCAGTTGATTTCAACTGGAGAGTTAAACACATGGATCATATCAGGCTTCAAGTGGGGCGAAAGAGCACATGCTACCTTTCCTTTTCAATTATTTCTCCTTCAACTAGCTCTCCTTCTGTTCCAAGCAAGGTTTTGCTGACTGTTTCTGCCTTAAAACTGCACTGGCTCCAAAGGCCAACCCCAAAAAACTTCTCTTCCCCTGGATGAAAGGTCCAGAGGGGAGGGGGGAGCCAGAAAGAGTCATTAGCATGTACTGTATAAGAGAAATCCTATGTCCCCTTCCTTTGTAAACTCCTGCTCCAAGGAAGGAAGGATTATGTGTTGGAAAGGAGACAATGCCATGAATTCCCAAAGACAGTAGCAGTGGTGGCTGGTGCCCATTGGAACTTGTGGGGTGGAAGCTTAGGGAGACCAACAGGAGCTGGAGCCAGAACCAATGACAGGCAAGGGCAACTCATTCCTAATTTTGCCCCCAATCCTCTTCCTTGCAGAGTTCTGCAAGGGCAGCGCTGAGATCAAGGAGGAGGAAGCTGGCAAGCAGTGCCACTCCTTAGACTGGCAGTAAGTAAGAAGGCCGGTGGGTGGGGCTGGTTATGGGTAGAATTATGGGTAGACTGAGGTCCGCAGGGCAGTGCCCCATTTGCTTTCATGGTTCAACTTCCAGTGCTAAGCAGGATTTCTGCACAGGAAGCAGCACACAAACCACAGGAAGACCACGGCCCTTGGTGACAATCATGCACATGTCTACTTCGGTATGTGGGCACAACAGAAGTGTGCGAGGGAGAGGAAGCTATGGCCAATTATGGCTTTCAAAAGGGAATCTCCTGGTAATCTTGGTGGGGTTTGAATGTCGCTACTCTTCTTGTAGGGAAGCTTTATCTGGGCAGCATCAAGGCCAAAGCAGCCTCAACAGTCACAATGCACAAGTGCTTCTAGTTTAAAAGATTAAGGGGTCCCCTCCCCCTTTCCTTTTAGGGTTTCCGACACCTTGCCGGAGAGCAAGGTGCCACATCCCATAAAAGAGAAAGGAATCTTTTATGAATGAACAATAATGAGCCTGATCACGGATAGCTCTCTTTTTTTAAAGAACACAATGAATGGAGCATTTCCAACCACACAGTTTTGTGGCTTGAAAAAAACAAACAAACTTTTAATTTGGAAAGCCCACTTTTGCGACAAGTTAGTTGGTAAGGAAATCTAACACTCTTTCTCCTCTCTCTCTCTCTCTTTTAAAGTAATCCTGCAAGGATTACTTGGGAGCACAAGGCACCCACTTCAAACTCCATCAACTTCTTTCCTTCCGGAAACCGAGAGGAAAGCGGCGCCAACAAAAGCAAGGCAACAAGCACACTTTCCGTGTCCGTGTTTTCCCAAGGGGCCCCGCCAAGTGGCTCCTCTCTCCCTCCCCACCCGAATCGACCCCCTTTCCTGGGTGGCCCCTCCTAGGTGCCCCACGAGGAAAGGCGATTTCCTCCGCCAGAGAGGCGCTCAGCCCGCCCCCCGCCCCGGCAACAACTGCTAACAACAACAGCAGCAGCAGCAACAACAACAACGCGGCGGCGTCTTTGCAAAAACTCACCCAGGTCACCAAGGGGCTCTGCAGAAAGAGCTCCATGAGTTCGGAAATGGTCACGTCCATGTTGCTCCCCGAAGAGGAGGAGGAGGAGGAGGCGGGCTCCTCCGTTTGCCTTTGGCTCGAGCTGGTTGCGCTCACGCGGGGAACAAAGGCGAGGAGCCCATAGCCCGGGCGGACTGGCTTACGAGGGAAACAATACGAGGCTCATCTCCTCTCTCCCCTCCCCCTGGGCTGCGGCGGGGAGGGACGCCGACACGCGGGTCGCGATCAGTCGCCCTCCTGCGGCGCTCCTGCTTGCAAAAGCGGCGGCGGCGGCGGCGGCGGCAGCCTCCTTCTCCTCCTCGAGGCAGCCCAGCCCTCGCCAACAACCTGCTGGTGGGCAGGACAGGGCGCAGCTCGCGCGCAAAGGAGCGGCGGCGGCGACGGCGGGACCTGAGCAACCGGCGGCGCACTCTTGCCGAAGCCTCCGGGCGTAGCGGGTGGCTCCTCTTTCGTGGCGGCGGCTGATGCGCAAGACGGGCCGGGGTGGGGAAAGGAACAAACGGGAAAGGGATCTCTTTTTGAGAAAAGCTTCCGAAAGTTTTCTTTCTTCTGGAAGCCAAGCAGAACGCGCGTCCCAGGCGCGCTGCCTGTGCGCTCTAGCGCGCTTCGCCCTTTCCCTCTTTCCAGGCAAGAGACAAAGTCCTCCTGCGCCGCGCAGTTATTACCTGTAGCGGGAACTCTTTTACAACTGAAGATGAAAGGGGAGCGGGGGAGGGCAAACACACACAAACCACCCACTTTGATGGACGTCGCTGGTTGCAAATGAGAGCCTGGGGTAAAGGGTTGGAGCTGGCCAATGGAAGGTGCCTCTGGGCTAATTGGGCTGGGAAGGTGCGAGCAACTGCGCCGCGAGAACAAAGTGCGCGCGAGGGGAACCCGGACCCCCTTGAGCTGCGCGGGGTCCGCGGTGCGCGCCGTCGCTTCTGTGGATGTGAGCCGCGTTGGAAGCGAGTTAGTCTTTACTTCTTCCGAGCGGATGAGACGCCGGCTGCCCCTTCGGGTTTCTCGAAAAGGAAAGGCAAAGTGTGGCCTCACGCGCCTCCGGTTTCAGTCCCAGGCGCCTGGCTTGGTCTCCAGCACTTTGGAGGCGTCCCCAACAATCCGCTGGGAGGAGGCGGAGGAGGAGGCGGGCAGGCTGATTAAACTGGAGAGGAATTACAGGCTCTGGTTTTCAGCGCAGAAACAATCCTCTCCCACGAAAGCCCCCCAAGTGGGGGCTCGATTCCCCTCTTCGGAGCGGCAGGATGTTTTTCTTCTGGGCTCGTGGTCTCTGCAAACATGACGGCAGCGTTAGGCTGGCCTATTGTGTTTAAACATGAACTCATACCAAAAGCTTCCGAAGGACAAAGGGAATTGGTCGAGCGAGCCTGTAGGTATATAGGGGATTTAACCCCAGAGTCCTGGGAATCATTTGGGAAAGGGAGACAAGGGGGGATGGAGCAAGTGTGGTGAAGACCCTCCAAGTGCCCCAGTTTTCCAGGGACAGTCCTGGATTTATAGAAGCTGTCTCGGTTTCTAATTTGATCCCAGAGCGTCCCGCTTTCCCTTCAGATGTCCCTAATTTCATTTAAGAAATGTTGGAGGGTATGGTGGTGTAGTGGTTAGAGCATTGGATCAGGCCCTGGGAGAGGCCAGGGTTCAAATCCCCTCCGTGCCAGGAAGCTGATGGGCCAGTCACAGACTCTCAGCCTGACCTCCCTCACAGGGTCCATGTGGGGAGAAAGAAAACAATGTGTGCCTCCTTGAGCTCATTAGTGGGGTAGAAATGGGATAAATCAATAATTCTAACCTTGTTACAGCTCCTGCAGAAAGTACAGTTTGGGGAAACAAGGTAAGGAAGTCCCAAAGTCTTATTATGGATCGATCTGGTGTTCAGAAACAGCATCACCAAACCAGAGGATCTAAGTCGATAAGCTACCAGGAGGACCTTCTTAAGGAGTGGGAGAGCCAAAACAAGGAACAGAGGCCAAACATCTAGGCCTCTGCCCCTAACGGTGGTGAGCCCCTCCAGTCTGACCACTGAAATTGGGGCATCATCTCTGCAACTCGCTTCTACCTGCTCACCCAGACACTCAAAAGCAAGTTCCACTGAAAGCATTGGGACTTATGCATTATTTTATTTTATTTTATTATGTGTGACCTTCCTTCCCATAAACTATTGTCAATCCTGGTTTTTTCTCGCTTGCCTCCATGGATTTGCTTAGGCCCATTTTTCTCTCTGTTTTACAGACACCTCATTATAATTGGTCTGAAATATTTGCTTTAGTTGTTAGAACTCTCAACATCCACTAACATTTTATCCTAAAAGTATCAAATCTTTGGGCAATCCCACCACATATGGTGGTAGTACTCAAAGCAGTAGAGTTCTTTTCCAGCACTCAAGGCTTAACAGAGCCATAGATATATGGTAAATTAACCCTGGGGGTGGTAAAATATAATCTGTATAAAACCTTCAGGTGTATTTTCCTCAATCTTTGTCATTACTGATTCTAGTGGCCATTTATGCCTTAGGGAATTCTGGTGGGCCATATCTTCCTAAGATAATAGCAGACTTTAATTTCTCAGTCTCTTAAAGACTATATAAACTAAGTAGGAAATTGCTTCCTGTTTGTATATTCCTGGCTCTCTACACACACTACTGGAGATATGAATCTCTGTTGTACTTTATTTAACAATTTGTTACAACAGACACTTGGCATTTCGGACACACCTCTGTACTTTTGCAGTGGAGGAGGGCTAATAATTGAGAATTACTGTACCAGATGCACATAACATATGATAGTGATGATGCAGCCAAGTGTTTCTTAACCACAGACTTCTTGGCACACTTTTCTTTCTTTTTTTGAAAGTTGATTGCCTGCCTCATTTTCAAGACTCTGAACAGGTTAAATAATAAAAAATAGGTGACCTTTTTCCTCTATGCTGGGAGGAAATCTGAGAGGAGCAGTAAAGAGGCGGATTATTTTTGAACAAACTAAGTCTGTACACCTATATACATTTACATGGAAGTAAGCTCCACTTAACACAGTGGGGCTTACTATTTCTTTTTTTAAAAAAATAGTTATTCTTATTTAGTTAATCCAAAACATGTAATTCAATAGCATATAAGAAATAAGGAAATCAATGGTTTCTATCCATGTTAAGTTCTGATTAATAATAATAATAATTTATATATACCCTGCCCATCTGGCTGGGTTTCCCTAGCCACTCTGGGCGGCTCTCAACAGAATATTAAAAACACGATAAAACATCAAACAATAAAGAAACTTCCCTTAACAGGGCTGCCTTCAGATGTCTTCTAAAAGTCAGATAGTTGTTTATTTCCTTGACATCTGATAGGAGGGTGTTCCACAGGGCCTCTGCTTGGTTCCCTGTATTCTTATTTCCGCAATGAGGGAACTGCCAGAAGGCCCTCGGAGCTGGACCGGAGTGTCCAGGCTGAACGATGGGGGTGGAGACGCTCCCAGGCATACTGGATTTCACTGTTGGAGGCATTGTGCCTCTGAATACCAGTTGCTTGGAATCAAATGTGGGCCAAGTCCTGTTGTGTTCATGCCTTGCTTCCATGCTTCTCAGAGACACCTGGTCAGCCACTCTGAGAACAGGATACTGGATTGAATGGGCCATTGGCCTGGTCCAGCAGGCTCATCTTATGCTCATGTTCCTATGAAAATAAAGGGGGAGGAAATGCAATTGAATGAAAATTAAATCGCACACACAAATATAAATTTGGATCGTTGCATTCACAAACCCTGCTAATAATAACAAGAATAACTGATATTAGAAGGCAGTAGCATGTCCTTTAAAAATATTTATTTTATATGTAAGTATCATCATGTCCTTGGCATTGTATGGTATTCTCAGTTGAAGCTAGGGAACCGTTAAGAATTCCAATTAGTGATGCTCTTAGATTTGCCTTGTACATACAGATAGAATTGCTGGTTTTGAACTGCAGCTTACCACAGCTCATACTTCTGCATCTGTGGTTAGCAGGCACTGCAGTTGATTTTGGTTTGGGAGTTTTTGGTTAACTCTTAAGGCAAAAATGCATGCCAGTTCTTTCCTTTTAAACTCCTTGCTGCCCTTTCTCTGACTCATCTGGTTTCATGGAGAAGTGCTGTTAAATAAACTGCATGGAGAAATGTCAGAAAAAAATATGTATGACCACTGCAAGTTAATAACACTACTTTGAAATTATGCCAGCAGACCTGGCATGGATTTACTTTTGTGTTCTAACAAAGTGTAGAAGGCTGATGGCCGAAGAATTGATGCTTTTGAATTATGGTGCTGGAGGAGACTCTTGAGAGTCCCATGGACTGCAAGAAGATCAAACCTATCCGTTCTTAAGGAAATCAGCCCTGAGTGCTCACTGGAAGGACAGATCCTGAAGCTGAGGCTCCAGTACTTTGGCCACCTCATGAGAAGAGAAGACTCCCTGGAAAAGACCCTGATGTTGTGAAAGATGGAGGGCACAAGGAGAAGGGGATGACAGAGGACGAGATGGTTGGACAGTGTTCTCGAAGCTACAAACATGAGTTTGACCACACTGCGGGAGGCAGTGGAAGACAGAAGTGTCTGGTGTGCTCTGGTTCATTGGGTCATGAAGAGTCGGACACGACTAAACGACTAAACAACAACAACAACAACAAAGTGTCAGGAGATCTGAGGTGGTGCAGTGGGTCAGGCTCTGAACCAGAAGGTTGGTGGTTCGAACGCCCCCAAGGATTAACTCTTGGGGCCCCTTCCAACTCTCCAGTTCTGTGATTTATGAAACGCTCTAGAGGACAGAAAGAAGAGGAAGAAAATACTTGGCAAAAACATATGCGCTCTTCAACTGAACTGTACGAAGAACATTCAAGTGGCAGCTGAATGGTGAACAGTAGGTGGCTAAATAAACTTCAAACAGCTATTGCCCCTTCTCTTTGCTTTCCAAAATGCAACTGGCATCTTCTTTAAGCATTCTGTCACTACTTACTTTGTTGTTGATCATGTTCTACTTTTCAGTGCACGTGTTGGATAGATAAAATGAGCTATGGGACACCCTTGTGAGTACAGTTCTAACATCTGCATAGCTTGTATAGTCCTGACACTCAAGATTTGAAACATTGTAGTTTCTGTATTACAAAGAAGAAGAAAAACAGGCATTGTTTGCAATGTCTGTCACTCCCCATGACCAGGCAATGCAAAGAATGTTTCCACCACCTAGCGGCTGAAAAACACCATTCA